TGGTGAAGTACTCATAGTCGATGGTCTCTCCGTTGTTGGGGTCTTTTGCGAAATAGTCTTTCTTCAACAGTGTGTCCGTCTTCGGGTCCCACACGCCATGTTGTGCCCACAGGCACTCGCCCAGCTTCCATCCGGGATCGCGTGTCCAACCGTATCTGCTATCTTGGTCCACAACTAGCCATGCCCTCTTCCCATCTGGGTCTACTAGGGTTGAACCAGATTTGTACGGACCCATGCCACCCATGTCGTAGGTTGGCAATTCACATGAGCGGCCAGACCCTATCTGTATCGCTTGCCAGGCTGTAGGAGTAGTGCCCTTCTTTAGATTCTGCTCCTCAGGTATAACAGAGAGATCTTGGGCGCCAATGAGCCCTCTGTTCGGTTCGTTCAGGCTTTCCCAGCCAATAATTGGATCATGCCAAAGGTCACCGGCTTCGTGTATGCGTTTTGCGAGGTGCTCACAGGCCGCGATGTAGTGCTTCTGCAGATACTCCTGTATGTTCATCCCGTCGATGATGGCCTTAGGGGCAAAGTCCTTCCCTGCGAAGAAAAGGGTGAAGATGACTTGACAAGCCAGACGGTGGTAGTTGGTGGCCCAGATCATCTTCGGGTACCTTTGAGGCTCTGGATAGACGTTCTGCACTATCGCGGCTTCGGTGACGCTGAAGAGCTTAGGGTCAAGTCCGCAGGCGTACAGAGTCCACAGGGGCGCCCCTGAGCCACCCGAAAATCGAGACCACTTGTGAGATGGTTAGGGGAGCAGGTGACGAAGTGGCAGAGTTACGTACAACATCCTGGTGCGGGTCCATGAAAATATAGAAGCCAAAGCGTTTTGCAACCCGCAGAACAGAGATGGTGTGCTGTATCCACTCTTCATCATACTTGCCTGGCCCGGCATGCTCGATGGCCTCCCATGTGAAGATGTAGCGAAGAGTGTTGTAGCCCCACCCCTTGAGGCGAGCGAAGTGTGTTGCAGCATCGTCGACTGAAAATGGGCGGTTCACGAAGGAGACATTATCGCCGTCGAAAAAGTTCTCTCCCACATGGGTCGGTTGATCAGGAGTGGCAGGAAATTTGGCATCGGCAGCACAGTTGATGCCGTGGAGGGTGATCTCTCGTCCGTGCGGGTCACGAAAGGTGCTTCCGTCTATGCGGAGGCGCAGAGGTGACATGGCGGTGAGGACGGGAGGGATGGTCTTGAACGATAGTCTTCTCTTAAGGATTGGGACGAATGTATGGTGTATTAATGCCTCGAGTTGTAGTCTGGGTGGCAGTCTGTTGTGGTGTGCATCATGACGTCCGGGGTTACTAGGGTGTCAAGGGCAGGGAGGCATCAGCCACAGGTTGCCGCGCTTTCCTCCACAGTCGGCCGAATGCGCCACACCAAGGCGTGACTTCCAAAGTTCTTTCGGGGTGGTCATAAAGCAGGCTAATAGACTATGGAGATTCCATTTCACCTATTTCATTCAGTCTGGTTACGCTGGCTTTGTCCACCTGGCAGTAGTTGAATGATCGGGTGTATCCAAAAATGGAACTATTGTTCGCGCACGGACTACGCCACAATATCTCTATACTGCAGTTGTAAGGGTGCGTAGGATTAACCTGTTGCGAGGGATAACAATGATGAATTCGATAGCGTTTAGAGTAGGCCCGAGCCAGCCTCTAGAAGCAACTTGTTACGAACAAACGAGGATGTCAGGCAAGCGACTCGCTGAGGAACGAAGGTGAGGGCGCGAAGGACATCGAGAAGCAAAGATGTGACACCTCAACGCGGGGCACGGTCACGTGACTAGAGAATGCTCGCATGAGTACGGGTCTCGGCACTGAGCAACAATGCTCAGTATGATCAGTGGTCTTGGCACTGAGCAACC